CTAATGAGTCAGATATAACACTCCACCTATCAAATCATTCAAGCTTATCTTATTCTATCTGGTGATATGTCCACCTTCCGTATTAGCCGACCACCAAGAAGAAGGTATGTGGTGGGGGGAGGGGTCACATAACTTTCCACCATTTGGAGGTTGCGGCCTTATCTTTAGCCAAGACGTTAAGACGTCCGTTCTCCTAGATCGCCGATTGCTGTGCGTGATAGATAAAGTCTCACCAATCAAAACATACAAGCTTATCTTTTTTCCGAATGGATGACGTGTCTGTATTCCCGGATCACCGATGGATGTGAGTCACATAATAATGCACCAATAGGAGGTTTCAGTTTATATTATGTTGTTCAGATGACTTCTACTCCTTTCAATGATTGGAAGATTAGTCTACTTGGCTGCATAGTTGCCTGCTTGGTACAACGGTTGCCTGTTTGGCACAGTGGCTATGTGCTTGGTACAGTGGGTATGTGCTTGGCCTTTTACAGTATAAGTACCACCCTTTTCACTCAACTAATTCGTGTTCACCTTACACACTTACACTTCAAAAAGTTCGTGTAAAATCAACCAAATGCACCTCAATGTCTTCTACTCTTTCCTCAACCCCTTCTTCTGTCGAAGTTTCGACAACTCAACCTGTTCACCAAAACCTCCCCAGGTTTTCTTCTGAACGTCTTATTTTTCGACCACTCTTTGAGTCGGATTTTGAAGCCTATCACCTCCTCCTGAAGCAACCTGAACCTATGCGTGGTTACGGCCTTGACGCAATGCCCGAAACGAAAACAGCTCGACATTGGTTCAATCAATTACAAGACCAAAAAAGAGTCGGAATCTTTCTCAAAAACTCAAATGAAAGGGAGGGAGAACTTATCGGTGAGGGATTGGTCCTTAAAATGGACAAGCAATGGCCTAGAGTCCATTATGTGTTCAAAAAGGAGTACTGGGGTCATGGTTACGCCACAGAGTTCCTGAAGGCATTTTTGTCCGTTTGGTGGGATCTGCCCCGTGAAAATACAAGCATCCTTGTGGAGGAAATCTCCCTCGATAGCCAGGAGAAACATAAGGCAACTGAGCGATTGTGTGCTGAAATTAAGATGGATAATAAAGCAAATCAAAAGGTGGTGGAAAAGGCAGGGTATAAGTTTTGTGGAGAAGTAAAAAACCAGGATAAGGAGATCTGTGGCTTTTGGCGTATCATCTGTCCGAAAAAGGAAGAAACGGTTTCTTGATGTTAAGAATTTGTCCTGAACAGTGTTTTTTTTAGCCTCGGCGCCATCAGCCCAGGGGGCTGAGGGCTGAGTAAAAAAAAAGAACTATTGCATAGTTCTTTTTTTTTAAGCGGAGCCGGAGTAATGGTTGTTTTAATGGAAGTTTACATATTGATTGTCTGGTTAGAGTATTCAACATACTCTACTTTGTTATTTAACCAAGAATGAAATTTAAATTTACCATCTTTTAGCCTTGCCTCACTTTTTAATATATAAATCTCATCTTTACCAATCCTCCTCCAAAGGTCTTTCACTTTTTCCCACTTCGAGTATAATATCTCTTTCCAATACGGTATTCATGTCCCTTCAGCTTCCTTTCTTGGGCCTTCAGCTTTTTTTCTTGTCCCTCCATATTATCCTTCAGCTCATAAACCATCTCCTTCAGTTTTTCGATAAGCTGTTCCTGAGCCTTCATCTTGCTGTCCTGCTCCCTCCTCTCTTCACGAACCCCTTGGACCATCACTTCCATCTGATGGATGAGTAACTGAGACGATCTGGTATGATCGGAGTATAATTCAGGTTCGTCTGAAAGTTGGGTATTGTCCAAGTGCTCGAGCACATGGGGTGGTAATTTGTAATCGGTCCTGTGCTGCTCAGGTTGGGCTGAAGAAGGTGTTTCTGGGATCCAGGTTTCAGGAACAAACTGGGCCTGATAGGATGACGAGGCTTCAGATGTCCCTTGAAAAGGTGAAAAGGAGGGATAGCCATCCAAGAGCGGTAAACCGTGCGTAGGATAATCGGGTTTTCCGCTTGAAGCAGAGAGGGTTGGAGAAGAAGCGGGTGAATGGATGAAAGTAAACATGGTTGGACAGACTTAAAACCCGAAAGAAAAGTGGTGTATTGTATTGGGGATGTGGTGGTGGACTGGTGAAGAATAAGACCGAAAGAAAGGCCGACATATATACTTGTAAACCTCTCTTATTAAGCCAACCTCGGCTTTACGCCGAGATTAAGTCGCATACTGATGTAACGGCCAATAACCCTATCGATAAGGTAATAACAATGCCGGGTTTATGCAATAAAATTGCATAGCCCTATCCAACATATCTCTTATGCAATACCCTTTTAGGGAAGATAACCGCGTGTACAATAAAAATGAAGCAGGTGATGGATAAGAGTTAGCGAATAAGAGGTGAAGGAGTTATCTTTATCTCTTTCACATGAGATTCTAGACTTTAAATGTCTTTTACATGAATGAGTCATAGATAAGAGTCAACCAATCAAAGCTGAAAAGGTTATATTTATCTCTTTCACATGTCAGCCCAGACATCTAGATCGCCGATAACAGTGAGTCATAAATAGAATGAGCCAATCAAATCTCTTCCCCTTATCTTTAGCCCAGAAGATTACGTGTCATTCTCTCAGGATCGTCACTTGCTTTGAGTCATTGTTAAGGATAAGCCAATAAAATATATCACCCTTATCCTTTTGTTGTAAGGATAACAGGTTTTCGACCCATCATCTGACACTTCTGCCTGATTGGCAGTATGGATGCCTAAGCTTGGCACAATAATATCTCGCTGTTGCCTACTTGGCACGCTTTTACCTCGTTGGCAAATAGAAGTATAAGTATCTCTCATTTCTCCCTACTAATTTATGTTCACCACCTTACCAAGGCATCTCAACATCCGATCACTTCTTTCAAACAGCACTTTCATCCAAGAAGTTATCAGCAACCACCTTTCGTCAACCATCTTTGCACCAACCCCACCGTTCTTAACAGAATTTACCAAACCAACCCTCCTTTCGCCTACCCGTCCGATAAACCAAATACACTCACACACTACAATGGCTTCTACATTTACCTCCATCCCCCTCTCTGTATCTGTCCAAGTATCAACTACCAAACCTTCTCACAAAAACCTTATGGGGTTTTCTTCCGAACGTCTTATATTTCGACCGCTTCTTGCCTCGGATTTTACGGCATACCTTGCCATATACAAGTCATCTCTATCCAATAGCGGAACGTCCTCAACACCAAACCAAAGCCAGTTGGAAACTTTCGTTCAAAGTACTCGAGAATACTTTCTCGAACGAAAACTCATCGACTATGCAATGGTCGGAATCTTCCTCAAAAAGCCAGACGGAACCGAAGGGGAGTTAATTGGAGATGGAGGGGTGTTCTTCTTGGATAACAAGGATGAAAAATGGCCTGAGATCTATTATGTTTTGAAAAAAGAGTATTGGAATAAGGGATACGCCACTGAGTTTGTAAAGGAGTTCCTAGGTGTTTGGTGGAGTCTGCCACGTGAGAATACACGCATGCGTGTACAGGCTATCTCATTGGGTAAATTTTTTTACCATCAAGAGGCTAAAGAGCAATTGGGAGCTGAGATCCATATGAGTAACAAAGGAAGTATAAGAGTTTTGGAAAAAACAGGGTTTGAATTTTGTGGGGAATACTTAGCAGGTGGAGAGAAATTTAGCTATTGGAGATACACTTCTCCTCATTAATTGTACCTTACTATCTTTGGTACTGGAGGAAATAAAGATGAAGTCACCAATTTTTTTTTTAATTTTTTTTTATTTTTTTTTATTTTTTTATTTTTTTTTTATTTTTTTTAGTTATACATTTGAGGCAAAAATTTTACCTCATAGTGACATTTGCCCGTAGGGCAATACATACAAACTTGCTTATTGTAAGAAAGAGGTATTTAATTTTGTGACCAAATATCAGGCTAAACAGAAGATTCAAATTTATATCTTCCTTTATAAAGCTTGTCAGTATCTATCTTTTTAGATATAACGGAAGAAACATTAATATTACCAAGGGCTAAAGCTGCTTGAGTATATGAAGAGAAAGGAGAACCTACTACTAATTCACCATTATCATAAACATTCCCACCGAATCCTGAGTGACCTTTTTTAGATACTTTAATAATATCGGATAGAGATTTATAAGATAACCCTGAAGATAAATCAAATATAGGAGGTTTGTTTAATATTTCATAAATTTTTTGTAAGTTTGGAGCTTCCGCTACCAAAGTGCTAGTAGTATATCGTTTATTAATATACTTATTTATTTCAATGAAACATTTTTTACCTTCAGGGTTTGTTGTATGCCCTAGAGCTTTAAGTTTTACTGCTAATTCTCATAATTGAAAATCTACACCTTTTCTAGTTTTAAATCTTAATGTTTTAAAAAAAGGTAAAATATAATTATAAAGTTGAAGAATATTAGAAACACTTAAAATACATGTAGTAGGACTATCTCTAGATACTCCAGGAGTAGGTTTAGTGTTCAATTTATCTAATTTAGTCTCTATTTCTGGGCAATACGGTAACTTAATTAAAAATTCAGCAATTTCATATAAAAAGTGTATATTTTTAGAGTGCTGTTTAATCGAAAGAGTAGGAATCATGTTAGGTATACAGAATGCACCATCCCCTTCTATAAATCCTATAAGTCTAGAAGGACTTAAAAATTTTTTAGGAAGATCATTCATGTCAAACTCCGATCTGTTACTATTCATAGTAGCTTTTATCTCTAATATTTGGTTTAATTCTTCTTTATTTAATTTTCTCTTTTCTTTATAAGATGTTTTTCTTATTTCAGCTGCTTCCTTAAAACATTGAAAATCTAAAAACTTAGAAGTTGTAAAATAATATTTTGAAAATAAAGGAATAAGTATTTCTAGTATATCTATAAACTTGGCTACTATATAATAAGATTCATGTTGGTTTTTTGAATCTACAATAACACCTACTTCTCGATTTACCAACCCACTTAACAAATTTTTTATGTATACTAAAGTTTGTCTATCATCTCAATGTAATTTTATTTTGAATGATAAAGCTCCTGTAGTAGATATATAAAACATGGATTCTGCCTCTGAAAATCCACTAAACCAATCTAATTCTAATTCTCTTTCCTTTAATCAAGTTTCTTCCGACTGGTTAATATTAGTGTTTTGTTTCTGTAACACTTTATTTATAGATACAGACATAAGCTCAAGGCCTTCATGGTCACAGTCAGGTAATACATAATAACTTACTTAATATATTAACAATAAGCTAAAATAACTTTGAATTCGTATATTTTATTAGTTAAACACATTTAACTAAAGTTCCGACTGTACATTAAGCAGCATTTCAGCCACCCATTAGTGACCCAGTCTGTAGCGACCCTTTATATGGCCGACGGTCTTAAAGTTTATTAAGCTTCTTTAACCGTATTCACTAATATCGCCAAATAATATTAAATATTATTCTATAACCCCGTCGGGCTATACCACTTTAATCTTTTTTTTTT